ATCATTTAAGTGTTTATAAAATTAACTATTATTTGACCTCAGGATGAGTTTTAAAGAGATAGAGTACTTAATGTGTTTAATGAAGCGGACGCGAAGAAGAAAATTGCCGGTTAAAAGTGGTTTACCGTGATTAGAGAGCATCCATCAAACCGACGCTCCTGACATCGAACTTGTCTGATGGCTTTTACCGTGTCTGCCACAGAAAAAGTTTTTCGATTCTCAACTTTTACGGATCAGTTAACCAGAATGAAAAACTTCGATGCGTGGGAAAAAAATAAAAATGCTTAACTGGCTCATAAACTTAAAACTTGCCTAATTCTAAGTATCTGACAAAACTATGTAAACAACATTAATCTAATTTGGAACATTTTCGAAATGATAGACCTAAATAGTTATGCGACAATTTTGATTCAGAATGTATTCAAACATAAATATCCACATGCTTGCTAGATCTATTAGATGAATTGTATTTTTATTTTGTTTGGAAAAGAAACTTTTAATCTTATATAATAGGTAAATAATTAAATAAATATTTTAAAATAATACAATATACGTGATAGAACTTGAATTTAAAAATCGTTTTAATGTAATTTTAACTTTAAAACAAATATTTAAAATAATATTTCCAAATTTCAATAGCATCATATTATTACATAAGCTATAAACACGATAGATTAAAAACGTTTTACTCTTGTGGTTCCGTATTAAACATTAATAAAGATTAAAGAGTAGGTACACTGTGCTTAAAATCAGAATGTATTTATTTTAATAATTACATATTTTAAAACACATTATGAAAGATATTATACAATTTAAATATATAAATTATTCCTAAGCTAAATGGTGGATTATACAATATGTTTCTTAAAGTTTCTAAGCAGTATTATTTAACAATTTCAGATATTACGTCTCTCTTTTCTTGTGATCGTATAAGGTTATTCTGGATAGTTTGGAAAAGCCAAAATAAGCCTTTGTTCTGAGAAAATCCTGTTAGAAGTTTGCAATGTAACAACTTTAAATAGTTATTTCATGAAAACCATTCAAGAATAATAGATTTTTTTAAGTCTTTGATTCACACAAAAGTGTAATCTAATTGTTAACATAGAATTTAAAATTGTATGATCATAATACTTATTCGTAAAACTAAGTGCTATTATGCTAGTTTTGATTTTTATATTATATAGATATACTACAATCATTTATCAAATTTGTATACACATAATTTATATGTGTAATAACTAATAGCCAATAGGTATATAATTATGAATGAACAATATTTGTAAAAAAAAAACACTAATAAAAATCAATATTGAGTGGAGTCGACTCGAATAGTATTTATTAATTACTTAATAATTCAATATTTAAAACATAGTCATCTACAATTAGGTTGTATGCATTGGTAAGATATAAATTGGCAATTTTTATTAAGTATTCTTATTTTTATAGGTTTTCCAATGTAAGTGCTTCAAATAGGTCTTCTTCATTTTATATCTGTCTATACCTATACTAGCTGATTCGTCTTGTATTATTGCTATTATCTATAACCTACCATAATCAATTTAATTTTAATTTTAAAACAATGTGCTCGAACACTAATCTATTAAAATCTTAATAATAAAACTTTATGCATACTAATGGAAAACAAAATACACATCACGTCGTTTATATGAATTTAGATTTAAAATACCGTTATGAATATTATGCTGGGCTATACGTCTCCTAACTTCTAACATACTTGCGGCCACGGTAGTACTGGGTATTGTAATTTGTATTATAGTTTGCCTTTGAACTTGTAAACCTGAACATATTTTACCAGATGACGAATTTCGTCTAATAACATATCTGGAGCCGGTGATGACACCGTTTTATCCCCTCGCCTCGCACGCACATGTGAGAATTCCTTTCGTGGTTGTCTTTGCATAAAATCCACAATAATAAACCACCCTTAGTTCTACCCCGGAAAACGAACGAGGACACTTGACTAAAGATATTTGATAACCCATTATAAATTATTCAACTATGTCAACATGATCCGCATTGTATACATCACTTGTATATTACATACTTCCAAAGATTGCACAGTCACCAAAACATTCACGAAATGGACACGTTTGCACTTTAAACTTACTTAGTTGTTACGGAAAGTAATTAAAGTACTTTTTTAATATTGCAATATTCTCAAGTAGTTTTTGACTTAAGGATTTATATTTCATACGTTATGTACCCATATTAATATATTCATAATTTTATTTTATTTATGAATTTTTCCGTTATTTAATTTATAGATATTTAAAGTAACATATAGTAGTTATATTGTAGATTTCTTATGGTCAAAATTCAACAAGTATATTTGAAGCATTTAGTCCAGACGGAATAAAAAATATATCTAATACATAATTTGATTAAGATATTTCAACAACGACAAAACCCGACGAATATGCATTTATAAAATATCGAAAAAATGTTTTTATTATTATATATTTACTTAATGTATATAATAGGTAGGTATTTAACAATAATATTATATTTTATTCATAGCGTAAATGATATGTAACGTATCATGTATTTTCTCCGATTGGGTTATAATGGAGATACACAATCAAAAAGCTTTTGTTTATAAACTATAATAATATAATGTAATTACAAATAGTAGTCAGGTAAATAGGTAAGTAGGTAATCAATGATTGTTGCTGAGTGTAAATACGGTACAATAAAACATAGTTTTAAAAATAAAAACCGGGGAACTCGCTCAGATGCTTAGGAGGTACATTAGGATTAGGAGTTCTAATTTCGTCAATGTAATGGATAAGGACATCTAACATTTGGATTCAACAATAAATATATTTATACGATAAACAATATATTCTGAATGATGGAGAGAGACGGATTAGCATCTATTACTAAGGGTAATTTATGTTAAAATATCGCATTTATATTATTATTGATATTTTCTTAATTTATTAGATTGAACTAATTGTTGCCGAAATTAAATAATAATTCAATACCGATGTACAGTAGTATAATGTAAACAGATTCATGGTTCATAATATTATAAATAGCTTAAAGTTAGTGTAAATATTATTTTTATATATTATTTGTATAATATTGTTTGTAGAAAATAATAAAATGATAAAAAGTTTTATGTCCCTACGATTAGTATTGATTGAGTATTACAAAAAAATAACTAAAGCTATTAAAGAAAAATCGTTTATTTTCGTTTATGTAGGTATTCAAGTTCGTTACTACTTCAAATGCTTCATAAGAATCAAAAAATAGTTTTGATATTTTTCATGCTATTTTTACCGAGAAATATAAATGATGAAAAATAAATAGCTTAAAAAAAACCACAAATTATTTAAAATATTACTCCATGTACAAAAATTGCTGATAAAAATATTTGGTGAAAATTTCCGTGTTTTACAATAATTTTTCTTTTTTTTACCAAAATCAATTTTGTTGTAAAATAGTGTCAAGTAAATATTCCAGTTTTCCTGCAAATTTTCTCAATTATTGAGTACTGACATTTTTTTTTATTTTTGACCTCGTAATTTAACCAAATTTAATGAAATTGGTTACCAGTCTCAATAATTACCCTCAATGTTAAAGGTTTCCGTAGAGAAACTTAAAGGAGACACAAAATATACATGAAAACAAAAATAAAGCACACATCGTTATAAAACAAATAATATAGGTACTTCTCGCCTCACTTCGGTTCTAAAATACATTAACAATTAATGATATAAATATAATAATATAATAAATTCTTACGTTAGTGTACCGCCTAAAAGTTAAATATAAACGATTTTATTTATATTTTAACTTGAAATTTACCAAAAAACTCAAGTATAGTTATACCTAATAACCAAAATTACTAACATATACAATTAGTATCGGATATTTTTTTATTCACCCATTCCTCGCAATGAGGGTTCATTAACTATTGTAAGTAAAGTACATCAATTGGCAAATACTTTCATATTATAAAGAAAGTAAACCAAGCAAATAATTTATTATAATATTTCAATACGAAAATTACTACCAATTACAAAACTTAAGTGTTTTATTTAAATACACTATTTCAGCTCATGACTCATGAGTACATAAAATATAAGTTTTTTTAGTAATATGCAACATTACTTATTACAACAACTAAATTATCTATAATATAATTCCGAATAGAACCAAGTTTTTAAATAATTGCATTCATCAAAATGATTGTACTCCGTTAATATAACATGTAAAATAAGTAAACAAGAATACAATTTACTTTAAATAAAAAAATATCATTCACAAGAATTGGGTTTAAAAGGGTTAAGCAAAATCTCAAGGGTTCGACTGCCAAGAGTGACGGGTTGAAACACTATCACGTTTAAAATCGAAATTCCTGACACTATAAGTTGTTGCTAAGGTATTCCTATCCTTTAGGGATCTTTTCGCACTAACCTGATAGACCGGATTCGAAACAGGTAAGAGGTAACTTATCAAATTACAGTTTAAACTTTGGAGTCAAAAAAAGTATTTTTGGAACATTACATGACAAATTTTAAATAGCCATCAAAAGATTATTTTTTTTATTACAAGAATTTAATGTATAATCGCCATGACGTATTTTAAAAAATATATTGAGTTTATAATTATTTTGAGAGAATATTACTATATCAAACATTATTTGAAGAATAAAACTAATATTCAATAAATTCTAAAAAAGCATAATCCTCGCAGAATTTTTCTTTTAAACAAAAATATCAAAAATGAATAACATAATAACCTATCAACTAAAATCGAATCATTTGAAATCAATGCCAATGAAACGTATTAACTGAAGTTATAAAAACTGTGACCTGTCAATTTTTTGACTCCTTAAATTTTTTCTTCACAATTAATTGATATTCAAAATAATAATTTATATAATTTGAATATCTTTTGAATATAGTGTGAAAGAAAACTAGTTCAAATTATTACTATTATTTTATTTACGAACAATAAATATTTGTACTCACCCCAATTTCCAAATGCCAGTACAAGACCAAAATGTAATACTAGTAATTTGATTGAATTTGAAATCATGACGAAATCGTGTGGTGCAATTCTAAAAAAAAAGTTTTGATTATAATTTAAAGGTTTACGTACTGACTTCGTTTGAACATGACAAACATTTTGAAAATTATATTATATACATATAAAATGTTGAATAAGTTTTTATATAATATATTTAGCGATAAATTAATATTATATTTAATTACCCTGGACATGTAATTTGTTAATATATGATTATCCCATGAAATTTAAATATGTATACACGAACAAAATATCTATTTATTTTATACGAATGGAAATTTAATTCGTAAAATGAAAGTTTTATTTTATTAAAACCTTCAATTATTGCATTTTATAAATCGTTGATGCAACTCAATTTTTTATTTGATAATGGTTCACAAAAACCAATAGATCGAACAATTTGTTTGATACTTAAATTTATTACAGGTATATGGGTACCTAATGTATTATGTAATTAATATTATATTTATACATTTATCTGTACGTCTACTTAAAATATATCATATCATATTTTATATTCTGAGATTATTATATATTAATACAAGACCGCAATCACTTACTGCGTCTTTATATTTTTTGACATACCTGTTTCGTAAATAAAGATTACCTATAGATGTTTTTTTATCATTTTATCGGTGATACATTTTGTTTTGGACTATACATTTTTAAAACAGATTATTATGTTGTTATTTTTTTTTTTTTTTTTTTTGACGAAATATTTCGTGATCGGAAAAATGCACGAGCAACGCGATACAGTCCCGGTCTGCGAGTTTGAAGCCAACTGGCCAACGTGCTGACAACGTGATTGGTGTGTCGCACAACCGCGCAGGACTGAAGCGTAGGAGTATAAGACGCCCACATCCCTTCGCACACGCTCACTAAACGAACAAAACAATTTACAAAAAAATAAAAATAAAATAGCCGTTTTGTGGGGTGATTCGTGAAACTAATTTTCGACGATTTAATTCGTTCGACAACAGACGAAAAATAGATAATAGATAAATAAACGTATTATTCGAAATCGGTTTATGAAACACGATGTGTTTCCAAATCAAAGTTTATATTGAATTTAATATTTAACATGTCAATATTTCATACGACTTTAGAACACAAAATATAAAATTATTATATACAATAACAAATATATCATAACGATTGATGATTGTTTCTATTGCCTAATTATATCATTTTTTCCAATTAATTTTGCTAAGCAATTAATGTGATAAATAAAACAGTTTAAAAAAACTATTGTTTTGATATAAATTGATTGAATGGAGATTATAATCTAACCCTTAGTAAAAAATCCATGAAAAATAATTCTAAGTTTTCTAGGAATCTCCATTGGTTGTAAGACGTGAAAATATTTTGTATACATTCGACAAGTTGAATGATATTACTTTTAATATTTACCAAAGAAATGTTTATATAATAGTGTACATTCTATGCTTCACAACCGAGACAAGTCACAAATTAAGTAAAAAAAGTGGAAGTCGCTCTGCTGTACAATAGGTTACAAGAAGGTCACTGTAATAGGAATGGTGTTAAATTTGAAATCAATGTTATAAGTTCATTGTATACGAAAAACGATTCTGAGAGAAGACGGTCTATCCACATATAATATTATCAAGTATATTAATTGATGATATTATTGTGATTAAAGTAATTAATTTTATTAGGTAGCTATTAGTTTAACTATATGCATTCGTACAACAGTAGAGTTACACTAAAAAACCTAATCGATTTCTTCAAAAACTGGTTTTGCATAATAATTTCAGATTTTCCTTAATTTATTTTCTATACGCTTTGGAAAACTACTGGGAATTTTACTTGTGACCCCCCCCCTCCTCCGAGTACAAACTAAATTCACTTTCATACCAGAAAATGATGCTTATGAAGAAAATAAAGCAATTTTACTGTCCCAAAAGGTGATGACAGACACAAAAAAAATTTTAAAAAAAACATAAAAACACGTAATTTTAAAATCAATATATTTATTGCTCCGCTCAGAATCTAAATTATATTTTATATACGATTATTTCTAACAGTGTCCTACAATTTACAATAATACAGCCCAGTGTCCATATTATGAATATATAATATTATACCTAATCACACAGATATTTTTCAAACTCACTTTTAAATCCACTTAATTTAAATACTTAAAGCTCATTTACATGTCACAAACTTCGAGCTGCAAAACCAAATATTTAAAAGAAGACATTTGAGTCATTTCTATATTATAAGAAAGTAAGAAATAATAATGTCCTTTGATGTGTATATCAACCATAGTGTCTAATTAATATTCCATTGGAAACATTTAAAAAAGCAATAACTGATTCGTAAGAAATGAATAATACATACTGATAAGGTAATATACTTAAACAAACATTCATTTACAAAATCCCAATATTTTATTATTCTTATTTAAAAATGTTAAGTTATTCGTTCAATACCTATGTATTTTAATATTAAATATTCATTTTAAACCTACTATTTTTCATTCAAAATTGTTTATTAATTTTCAAGATAAATGTTTTATGTATAATAACAATTCATAATAGGAACCAACCATCAACGTAAAGTTCAATGAATTATTATAGTTCAAAACGATCTCATAATGACACATTTAAATGCAAAAAAAAATTATTAATGGTAAATGATCAATCTAGTTTTTATAATTTAAGAAAGAAAATAACAAGGTATATGTATTCTTAAACTATTCTTAGTTTTCGGTATATAAAACTCGACTTTCATATCAATAATTAATTAATTAAAAGTTATAACTAATAGGTAAACTAATCAGATACCTATGTATTTAAGGTTTATATAAACGGAGTAGAGTCTTGCAGGCTCAGACAAAAATACAAGTTTATTTCCACATTAATTGCGTTAGAAGCGATACTATAGTGGTACCTAAGTATTTGTCTAAAGTTGGCACGACTTCCTTAAAATAAATTACAGAAAATAAAATGGTTTTAAAAATATGTAGAACGTATAAAATAGTTGTATTATTATGTTGGACATCCACTATACAGTCAAGACATTCAGTGTTAGTGACTTAAATTTTATTCACAAAATATTTTAATGTTATAAATCAATTAACTTGGTAATCAGAAAAGTGACCTCAGAATAATTTCAATAAATAAATCCTGTTCTATGGTGGTTTTATTTTAAAATGTTCTCATATTTGAATTTCATTAAATTCTTATTTCCTTGATGATAACTAAAACGTCATGCCCTGTACATCTAAAATCACTTTTTTCCAACTCTGAGCCGTCTCGTTTTTATCTTTTATGCTTACCCAGACAAATTTATATTATAATTTTATTCCGTCCCTTAATCTGTAGGCTGCGCCATCCGACCGAAATGAAACCGGGATTTGACTTTTATTGTTTTTTTCCCTTGGATGAAATACTTCTACGGAAAAAACATACAAACCCTTACCGAGCGCTGATCTTCAGCCTGAATTTAATATCGATAATTTAATGGGTAGTATAAAACAACTATACACTAAGTTCAGTGGATGAAAAAAATTATTCAGGACTACACTACCACACAATGTTTTCAAAACTAATCTAATACGACTATACAAACATTTGTATTTTTTCTTCTCCCCGTAAACACCAAAACTAATCATTCAAAGATTGAAATTAAAACATGCCCAACACGACGTACCTAATATAAATTAATAAATTAAATATTATTTTTACTAATCCATTTTTTGTTAAATTAATATTGCATTACAAGGTCCACACGGTTGAAGACTTACAGAATGGGAATTTTTTTTTTTTCATTGATTAACCCGCGGCAACTCAGGCCATTGGGTGTCGAATGGGAAATATAACTAGACTAGGTATATTATAAAACATCAATTAAAAGTCAAAATTAACATGCAAAAATCTTATTTTCTGTAGATTTCCAATGGATATGTTATATACCCGTAAGACCTGACATAATTTTAAATCATAAAATATTATCTAGCTGTATAATCAATATCTGTATGTTTAAGACTCAAAATTAGCATGTAAAGTGCCTACCCGTATTTCTAAATATAGAATATTTTTATTCTTGGGATAATATTATAGTTTTTTTTTTTTGTTTAATTTGGTCATTTTAATTAAGAATAAGTTTTTAAATTAAAGCTAGGTACTTACCTAATACATGAATTTCAACAACAATCATAATTATATACAAAATAATAATAATGATACTTAATATTATTCTTAAAGAAACACTCGTGATTCGATTTTAAACAAAATATTATACTGTTTATAGTGTCACAAAAAACTTGAAATTAATTTTAAAACAGTTTTAAGTTCACTGTTGAAAAAAAAATAAAAATAGTATACGTAATTTAAAAATGGTCAATTTAAGTAAGTACACGATATCTAATCATCAATGTAATTATTTTTTTCACCGAAAAGTTAGGTACTGTTTAAATACTTCAAACTTCAACTGAAAGATGTATATATGTTACCTATTAAGTATTTAGTTTAAAAAAAAAAACACTCATTTTTTTAGTAGTTATTAATGGCTAATTATTCTCAATAGTTCGATTTCACAAGAAACCAATCTAAACTACTACAATTATTGCTGTGATAACAATAATAGATAGTATATAATATTTAATGTCTTACTGAAGTATTTTATATTCCAAGTATGTAACAGCTTTTAAATTTTAATGAGGTTTTTAAAAATAAACTTTATTATATTTTTAGGTATAGAGTTTATTTAAAATTATTTGACACAATCGTTTTTCTTATTATCAAATCCTCATTACAAAGAAGGTTATAACCACTTCTAGTTAAAATCAAAAAAAAACCTTTGACTTTTGTTAATAATTTTTGTTTTACTGATAATACATTATTTTTAACAGATAGACAACTACTTTAAACGCAGTGAGGATTTGTAGATGAAAATATTAAAACTTAAACAATGAATGCAATTTGTAGTGAAATTATTGTAATGATTCAAGTTAATTAATAAAATGATGCAAAAACATTTGATCCCTCTCAAAAAAATTTTTTTTTCTCTAAGTAATTATAAGTACGGGTTAAAATACATTGCATTAAGTTTAAATATTTTAACATATCAAATTATTTAACAGTAGGTATAATAAACACTAATACACTGCAGATTCTTCTGATTCGTCTTCTTAGCAATTTGCTTTCTAAGCATCAGAATCAGAAATAGGTAGCTATTTGTCGAATGTAAACTTTTATTGAACTGTTTAGACACGGTAGGTACCCACTTCAAATTGTTGAACTTTTCAAGTCTGTGCATTGGCCAACCACGCGCGTCTTATTGTAATTGTTGATATTTTAATATTGACAATCTACTATTTCGTAAAAATATGTGTAATTAAAACCAATATTGCATTAAACAAAACACTATTTGTTTTTTGTAATAATCAAAGGGTCTATATTATTATTGTTCCCGGCGAGCACTGGGTGGACATTATGTAGAGCGAAAAAACAATAAAGGCAGGAAGGGAAGTGGTATCTCCTTTCCGAAAGCTTTTAGCGTAAAATAAGCTACATCGAAGGCACAACATTCAGCTCTAATGTCACGTCAAGGAACATTATGCACCGTATTGTATTGTTAGTGACATATTATTATGCTGCGTGCAATATAATATTGTAATCGAAGCATTTTCTTTACGATGTGTCTAGTGTCGGAGGGATTATTTTTGATGAGTTTTGGTTCTAATCGTAACCAATGCTTTATCACTGTTCTCTAATAAAAAAAAAGTACCTACCACTAGAAACTTAAATTAAACTCCAGTTGGTGTGTGGCCAAATTAACCGGCATACTCGCCAAAACGTTTAAATGCATTGAACCACGAGAGTGGTTTTTTCCAC